GGAACCACTAATGTGTTTTGTTTTCCCAATCCGAAAAGTTTTCCGATTAATCATTACAATTAGGAAATCAACCCCTTCCCCTCCATTAAATCTTATATTTCTAGCCAGTAGGTAATCTCGCTAATTAAACATTTAGAACGTTCTTTGTACCCTTTGGTGAATGGATTCAAAAGCAACGCAGATTAATTATAAACTCATATTATTTCAATAGCTTTTGATATTGAAATTAAACCACCAACAAGTTAAAAAAAAAAAAACAATATATAGTATAACAATTTTTTAATTTTAGTTAATAGCGGAATTGATACAATCTAATAATTAGAAGACGAGAAAACCTAATTCATTAATTAATTAAGTGAGGCCATGAATTGCTTCATGCTAAATATTTCAACATTAATAAGCAAATGTGGTCAACTGCAAGCACACTACAAATCCTTTTCTAGAAAAAGAAAAACCTGAAATAAAATTAAGCTAGCAATTTAATATTGATCTCCTCTCTTCATAGCTTGTGCACAATGTCATTCTCATTCGGTACACCTTTATTCCTTTTTAAAACATCATTTCATTTGGTGGTTAACACATAGGAAATATTTTTGTGGATGTTCCACTCCCTCAATCTCATTATGCTTTGATGAACCTTATAATCTTTTTAAGACCCAATTCCATTAGCATCACTTTTGTACCCTCATCACATTTTCTTTTAGAAAATTATTGAAATCCTTCATTTGATTCAATGGCATTAAGGCTCCGTTTGTTTGGCGAGAAAACAAGTTTCATAAGAAAGTTAATTCTCGAGGAAGCTATTTTTCAGAAAATTATTTTTCAAAAAAATATTTTCTCGTTATTTGGCAATCACATAGAAAAGCTGTTGAAAAATATGTTCTAGCATTTATTTGGTACGGAAAATTAAAATACAAAAACGAGCGTGTGATTGTTACATCAACAAGTTTTGAGAAAACTTTAAAAAGCCATGTTCATAATTTCACAATATAAGATATATTTAAAAAAATTTCGTAAATATCGACTCTAAAATTTTAATTCAAAAAAAATAAAATAAAAATTTTTAATCATCAAACCAATTCATCAAAATTACTTGGAACAAAATCAAGTTAATATTCACATTTAGTAATTAAAAAAAAATCTAAGTAATCCTAGCATTGTTATTTTGATAACTCAATTAAGAATTTCTTTTTTGTTTTTTAAGAAATTGAACTGATAATTTTTTTTTTTGTAGATAATTATTCATTTGATTTCAAAAGATTAATGTTGGAATAATTTGTAACTAATTATTCATTACAATTACCAATAAAATTTTACAATCGATTAAAATTATAAATTATTGATTTAGTTGTAAATAAATAATGTTGAAAAAATAATATATTTATTAATGAATTAATGAATTTTAATTTTTTTATAAAAAATTATAGTCTTGTAATAATCATTTTCAATCGTTTAAGTATAATGTAAGTGGTTTTTGAGATAATAGTAAAAAAACAAAGATAAATTATTAAAGGATTTATTATAAAAATAATTTTAAGGTGTAAAAATGATTTTTAAGAATATTTAATGTATATATAAATCAAAAAATCAAATATTAGTAGAAATATAGGAAAAATAATAATAATTGATAAGAAATAATTAAAAATTAATTTGATATATTTCAAATAAAAAGAAAATATAAAAAAATTGTTAAAATATATTGAGAGAGAGGTAAGTAACGCGAGAGTGAGATCGCTCGTGAGAAGAAAAATGTTTTTCTTTTTTTAAACTGGAAGAATATTTTTTCAAAAATACTTTATCATTTTTCATTGACTGAAAATTATTTTCTCGTTAACTTTTTTTCTAAATGCGAAATAAACACTGAAAAATAAATAAAACAAGTTCCCGCAACTTATTTTCTTTCCAAACAAACAGCCTGAGAAATGGTCATGGTGCATATTCAAATCAGTTATGAATATTTGTTTCATGACCATCAATTTTATTTCATTGTCACACCTTTCTTGACGATCTATCCGGGCTTTAATTTGGGAAGAGAAATTAGGTGTAGGATTCAAATCCAATTTCTTGAAATCTACCCTTCCCATCCAATTTTCATATTGATCCAATTTCTCTATCGAAAGTTTTCTTAGAGGATTGTAACTCGTCCCCTTGTTAGATTTCCTACTATAGTAAAATGATTGTGTAACCTTTGGCGTTGACGAACATAAGCGAGGTCTCAATCAAAAGCACCAAAAAAAGATTTAATTGTGACAGAGGAGGGAGAGAAAGTAATCAATTGGAAACTCAAAAAGGAAGCAAACAAAAATGCAAAAATAAAAACCTAACAAAGAACACTGCATAAATTGGTAATTAATTTTGACATTTTACTTTAAAAATTAGTGGGTTTTGACGGTGGGTTAATTTGAAACAGAGAAGGAAGAGAGAGAGAGAGTAATTAATTTATGTTTTTTTAATATTAAAATTATATTTTTTTCAGCTCATTTTTTTTTACTTTATTTCTTTTTTTCATGTGATATTAATGTGACATGGCATGATATGTGATAATTTTTTGTCAGATATCATTTTTTATCAAAAAATAATCAAAGAGGTAATATTAAAAAAATAAAAAAACATTTGATACGATTAACCCTTTTGAAGTGTGGATGATGGAGTTCTAAAAATTTTAATAACTTAATAATTAAATAAATAAATGCTTTAACAATCATGAAAAATTAAGATTTAGTATTATAGATTTTGTTACATTAGTATTAAGGATTTCGAGTAGTTTTTACCGAAGAGTTAGGTTTTTTATTTTTGTTTTTTTCTTTTAATTTGAAATAGGAGTTTTTTTATTATTTTACTTTTATTCCAAAGAATACTTAATTTTACATGTTGTTCTTCTAATAGTTGTATTTTTTTATATGCATCTAATATCTTCTTATATTAGCAAACCCTACATAAAAAAATAAAAAATCCAAATCAGAAAAAAAATACTTTTTATTTGTATTTATTAAAATTAAAATTTATGATATTTTAAAATATTATTCTCTTTTTATTGAAAACATGTATTAATTAATGATCTTTTTACTTTTATATATATAGAGGGTCTAGGGATTTAAAGGTTTCTCACTAGTTATTATTTGTTTAGGGCCGGCTCTCTGTCTTCTCTCAAAGACTCACCCTGCTGCTGCTAATCAAGCTCTCTTTCGAAACCCTAACTCTCTGTTTCTTAATGGCACCAAAACGCCCCCCTCCCGTTGAAGATCCACCCTCTTCTTATAGCTCTAACGAAGAAGAAGAGGAAGAAACTTCCAGTGGTGAAGAGGAAGGGATATCTGATGATGAACAAAATCAACCCTCTCCTCATCAACCACAAACGAAAACCACTCGAACCCAAAAGTCAACCCCTAAAAATCCCGAACACTCGACTCAACAATCTGATTCTGCGTCCAAATCGGAATCAGGGTCGGATAATGATGTGGGAGAGGACAGAATGGAAGGTGAGATGGAGAGAGATTCAAGTGTCCAAAAGGATTCGGAGTTTTATAAAAGAATGGATGATTATGTTGCGAGGAGGGGATTGGATTTTGTGCATGGGAGGAAGAAGGCGGAGATGAAGGAGAAGTGGAGAGAGTTGCGGGTAGCTGAGTTGGAGTTCTTTTTGAAGCGGCAAGAATTGATGGCAGAACAAGCAAAGTTAATGCTGTCAGCTTTTAAATCTCGAAGGTACATGTAGGGGTTATATTCATAATTCTGTTTTCTGTAATGTTATGCTTTATTTCTCATTTAGCAGATAATTTGTCATTTATTTCTTATTTTTGTAGTTATTTTGTGTTTGATTAGTGGATTTCTTATAATTTTTGGAATCAAATTCATAGGTGCCCTTAACAGCCTTTCTTTATGGTTTATTAAGAAATAACTTGTGTCATCACTGGTTATGGGAAATTCATCTTCACTCTCTGAAGAGTTTACCCAAATTATGAATATATACTGTATTTGCAGAAAGAACTTCCATAAAAGTATGTTGTTTAAATTCATCCTCTCGTAGTCAAATTTCACAGCAGCAATAAGCGATACAAAACCAGAGGCTGAAAGCGACTTGACGGTCAAAACAGAGGAGTTCAGATATTTTGCACAAACAATCAAACAATTATCTAGAACTGCAGTAATACGAATTTTCTACTATCACATATTACCACTGTAACGACAGAAGCAGCATCAAAAACATCATTTGAACAAGTGATTTCAGATGGTATACAATAGCAAAAAGAGAAGGCAAATTTATCTTGGGACGTCTAATATCTCATTCCTAACAGCCTCTAGCTTCTTCTGCGTTCTTGGCCTTCCAAAAAATTTGCAACCTCGGATTATCATCTCCTCCAAAACTTCGGCAGACTCTAGCAAATATTCTACAATATATTTCTCGCCAGACATTCCCACGAAGTTATTAATTTCAATTGTCTTCAGACTTGAGAGCAAACACTTGGCTGGAAATACGAGAATTTTAGGATTAGGAGAGCTCTCAAGCAAGTCTGGCAGGGATTCCCAGTTTATAAACTCACCAACATATAGCACTAGTTTGGTAAGATAATGGAATGTGGGCAGAGTAGAATCACAAACAACAGCATTGACAGACTACAAAAAACGAAAGCATTGATGGTATAGAGTCCATGATGACATTGTAGGGAAAAAGAAAACAGCAATCAATGATATTCAACGTCAAGCAAAATATAGCCATTCAGAATATGAACCAAGCATACAGACATAGTATCGCCAGATAGTACTAAAAGCTCCACTTGGGAGATTCCATTGAGAAGCCAAGGTAGGCAATTATCATAAATATGTGCTTCGAATAGAGCGGATGAAACACTCATGGAAGAATCACACAATGAAGTGTCTTTGATTTGGAAATACTCAAGACATGGGGTATCAATCTCAGTCTTGTGCTTATGATCCTCCAAGAAATGCATTTCTGAAAATATAGACAATCTTTTCAATGATGGCACAGAAATATTCATAATTCACGCACCATGCCATCCATCTCTTCTCATAGCTAAGTTTTCAAGGTCAGGCAAGCTAGAAAAGAGCCTGTGCATTGAAGCATCATCGACATACATAACATGAGCAACACCAAGGGTCTCAAGGCATGGAAAAAATATATTGATAGGCAAATCTAGGACAAACGCCCTGTTAAGTCTTAAAACAACCAAAGTTTTGCAAGTAAAAATTCTCCAAAGCAGATGTTGAAGATTGCAAGAACTACTTTCAATTATTAATTCTTGCGCGTTACAAGCTGTCACGGCACATAAATATATGGGGAAACATCTTCAGTAAAGCATTCGAAAACGCATATTCGTATAATTCCCCCTACATGATAAAAGAGTACCCGATCTACATAATCCTTGAAGGACCTGAAAACTGTTGCATTATTACTATTGTCTCTTGCAATATTATAAGAAAATTGATCAGAAAAATCCAGATTTGGGGTTATTGTCCAAATGGACTCTCATCTTTTGGGTAGAATGTGGTGGAAACTGCATCTTTTGTTGTAAGAAATGAGATCATGTGAGAAATAACTTCAACGGGCAACTTGCTGATCCTATCCACATTGTCACCAATATTGGCAGATTTCTTATGGAGTGGCAAGCTTATGTCCATGTATTCTGCTGTGGACGCAAAACAGAGTAAAACATTAAAGCTTTTAAATTTAAGAAACAGAAGCTAGAAGAAACTTAAAAACCATCAAACGGAGAAACTTTAGGCGGTTTACAATCCATTCTGTATCAGGGTAAGCATAGAATGTTATGCCACAAAATGAAAAAAAAAAAAAAAAAACCACAAAATACAAAGAGCTTTAGTTAAAAGGACAATGCCTTCAAATTTCATTTCTTACAGTAATTAAGGAAATTATATCACTACAAAGTTAAAGTTTGCTTATGTATCTCTTAATGGGACAACTCAATCTGATAGCACCTTTTGCAATGAGTTCAAGCGCCTATAGTGCTTTCTACGCGGCTTCAGCGTTGCTTTCCCCAAGAAGGAAGAAGACACTACTTTTTTGGGACTTCAGTCCCAGCATTCTACTTCAATTTTATTCGATAGTGCAGTTACCGAATTCCAGAATTCGTATGGTGTATTTTCAGAATTCAGTGATTAAATCGTCAAAACCACACTAAATTCTAGGGAATTGGCATCACAATTGTCACAAGATTTGCAATGCCTTTCGATTTAGGACTACAATGCTTTTCACAGAATGTTCTATTAAAGTTTATACACAACTTTCTCAATACCACTCAACAGTTTCATGACTTTACACAAATGATTGCCTTAGCATGAAGCTAGACATAAAAATCAAATCATAAAGACTTGAGCACTTCTGAAGTACTAGAGTTCTTCTTGTATAAGGTTAAAACCTTTGGAAAAACAGTAGCCTTTGCCTCAAACTAGACATAATAACACTAAGAACCAACATTGCATAGTTGTTCCCAAAAAAAAAAAAAAAAAAAAAAAAACAGCACATACAATTTGTGTGTGTGAAAGATAGGGTTGTGAGAAGAACCTGATAATTAGGATGATTTGAGGTGAGAATTAGAAGTCACCCGCACTTTCTGCTGTGTTATGACTTGGGAATTGGGAACTTTGATGCACAACGGATTTTGGTCTGTTCATCCAACCGGCGTCTAATGCTTGTCTTTTGCTTCATCTTTTTCTTTTTCGTTCTTTTCATTTTTTTATTGGGCAAGGCTGAGAAAAACCACAATTGTATGCATTTTGACTTGAACTCTTTTATTCCATTCTGTTAAATTATTTCGTTCATATATATAAAAGAATACAACTTGGATCATGTTTAACACGAGTAAATTGTAAATTAATCCCTTTCGTTTTTTTTTTAAAACAAATTAATTAGTTTTCTCATTTCAAAAATTAATTATTTAGTGTCAAAGTTTTTAAATTTTGTTGTACTTTAGTTCTTTTTACTCTTTTTATTTATTTATTTTGATTTTTCATTTTAAGAAATACAAAAAATAAAAAAATATGAAAAGATTGATGAGAAAATAAGATTGTGAAATAAAATAATATTAAATTAAGCATAATAAATATTGATTAGAAGACTAAATAATAGTTTTTGAAAAGAAAAAAAAACTAATTAATTCCTTTCTTGAAACTAAAGGGACTAATTGATAATTTACTCTATGTAAGACACATAACTCTATGGTACACCATTTGCTCATGTTAATTGTTAATTTGTTATTTTTTATTTTTTTAAGTTATTAGTTTAATTTTGTTAATTTATTAGTTGTTATTTTCAAATTTAATTAATATTTAAATTAGGATTAATGTAATTAGTTAGGATTAATTTGATTTAGGGTTAATTTAATTATTGTTATTTTTATTGATTGATTTTTAATATAATTATACTCCAATTGGTTTAATTGATATGTAAAATTTAATGAGCATTTGAATTAAATTAAAGCCATAGCATTCAAAAAGTAACAAGAAACAAGTGTTCCATCGGACCGAAAGCTATTTATAGATCTTAAAGTTCCATCAATTTATTTTATATGTAACTCTAGTACATGGTGCAGAATCTGTTTGTATTAAAAAAAAAATATTTTTTTTCAAAATAAAATGAAATACATATCGATAATAATGCATCATTAACGGTTACATATTTCCACTAATAAAAAAATATAAGAAAATAAGTAATAGTGAAAATTAAAAAAAAAAAAAAGAAAACAAAAACTAAGATTGAGTAGTATGGTGTAAGGGTAAAGTAAATCATCAACCAATGTGGAAAAAAAGAATGATCGATTTTGAAAAATTTTAACCCTCAATCAAATAAAAAAAAAACATAAATTGACAAAAAAAAAAAAACAAAGAAAAAAAAGACATATAGTGCATCATCCAGGGATTAAAATTTTTATTTTAAAATTTTAAGGATTAGAATGAAATAATTTGAAAATTAAAAAAAAAGCCTATGAAAAAAGCTAAGGGTGAAAAAAATAAAAACGAAATAATTTAATTTTTTTTAAAAAAAACTAAGAAAATAAGTATGAGTGAAAATTAAAAAAGAAAGGAAAAAAAAAACCAAGATTGAGTAGCATAGTTGAGTGTAAAGCAAAAGTAAGAAAAAAAAATATATTGTTCAAATGAACGGTACCCTCTTCATTCTCTCTCTCTCTCTCTCTATGTATATATATATATAATTAGAATTTATAAATTACAATAATATATTTTAAAAAATAAAACACTAATTTAAAAAGCATAAAAATAATTTATTGCTTAAGTTATAATAATATATTTAAAAAAACAACGACGTTCTAAAATTTTATTAACAAATAAAATTATATCAAAAAATTTATTTGATTAGAATTTTAATGAGAAACAAATAATTGAAGAAATAAATTTTAAAAAATAAGACTAAAAATTAAAAAAAACTAAGAAAATAAGAAAAAAGTAATATTGAATTTTTTTTAAAAAAGAAAAAAACTAGGATTAAGTAATATAGTGTAAGGGTATAATAAATCATCGACTTGTTTGGAAAAAAAGAATGATCAATTTTTAGAGATGTTAAAACTTAGTCAAATAAAAAAACATAACTTGATGAAAAAAAAAAAAAGACATATAGTGCATCATCTAGGGATTAAAATTTTTATTTTAAAATTTTAGGGATCAGAATGAAATAATTCAAAAACTTAAAAAAAAAAAAACCCGAGGAAAAAAAACTAAGGGTGAAAATTAAAATGAAAAAAATAAAATTAAAAAAATAAGAAAATAAATAAGAGTAAAAATTAAAAAAGAAGGGGAAAAAAGTCAAGCAAAAAAAAAATAAAAAAAAGGTTCAAATGAACGAGTACCCACGCGATGGTTCACTTTTCATTTACTTGTTCATTCTAATTATAAAAATATATTTTTAAAAATAAAACACTCATTTAAAAAGTATAAAAATAATTTATTGCATAAACTATAATAATATATTTTAAAAACCACCGACGTTCTAAAATTTTATTAACAAATAAAATTATATCAAAGAATTAATTTGATTAGAATTTTAATAAGAACCAAATAAGTGAAGAAATAAATTTTAAATAATAAGAGTAAAATTTTAAAAAAAAAACTAAGAAAATAAGTAAAAAGTAATAGTGGAAATTAAAAAAAAAACAAATAATGAGTAGTATAGTGTCGGGGTAAAGTAAATCATCGATCCGTTTAGAAAAAAATAACGATCGAATTTTAAAATTTGTAACATTCAATCAAATAAAAAAAGAACATAAATTGATAAAGAAAAAAAACCAAAGAAAAAAATAAATATAGTGCATTAGCTAGGGATTAAAATTTTTATTTTAAAATCTTAGGGATCAAAATGAAATAATTTGAAAATTTTGAAAAAACCTAAAAAAAACTAAGGGTGAAATTTTAAAAAAAAATGATTTAAAATTTTTTAAAAAACTAAGAAAATAACTAAGAGTGAAAATAAAAAAAGAAGGGAAAAAAATCAAATGAACAATACCCATGTGATGGTTCACTGTTCATATTGTTCATTGGAACAGTGAAACCATCACCTGTTTTAGATATATAAAGAATTGTTATTGGTCTTTCATAACATGTATTTCTTGACTAATTAATTTTTTTAAAATAAATTAGCCATTGGATTTCTATTTTGATTATTTATATTTAACTATGTATGAGAATTATAATAAAATTTAATATTTATATCGCCTTGATATTTATTTTTCGTTGAATATTAACTACAAAATATTAATTATAAATACAAAAAATTTATTTATTTATTATTTTTTTTGGGAGTAGGGGTGGTACCATGGAGTGTATTAATATAAAAGTGAAAGACTACAAAGGGAGGCCATCTAGCTTAACCCAACAAACTAGGAGGGCAAGAAAGCCAATACTCATTAAAAAACATTGGAGAATAGTTTCCTGAACTATGGATGCAAAGAATTTTCCTGATATACTAATGCAGAGACATTTCTTGACAGCAGTTTACAACGAACTGAAGATTCCCTATAAACATATTGTGTGCTAATCTCTGAAAGAATATTACAATGAAGATTCTTGATAAAACGAAAAACGTGACTGAGAAGATCTCTATAAAAACATGGTAAAAAATTTTCTGATAATAATTGCTGGAGCGAAACCTGAAGTGAACATGCATGATACTACATAACATCTGAGAAGAAAGATCAATCTTAAGTACCTTTGAAAGTGAACAACCCAATTCTATCATCTGATATTGCCTGAGGACACTGAGTTGGTAAGCCAATTAGTGCAAATATTACTTTACTGGTTCTATGTTGTAGTGCCCAATCCGTTAGCCTATCTATAGATCTATTGCCTTCTCTATGTATATGCTGAATTCTTACGTCTGAACTGGTATAATTCCTAACCTCTCTGAAAGTATAATTTAACTACCAAGGGATAGCCTAAGACTGTGACAAAAAATTTCAATTACTTAATAATTAAATAAATAGATGCTTCAGCAATCATAGAAAATTAAGATTTAGTATTATAGATTTTGTTACATTAGTATTAAGGATTTCAATTAACTTTTATCAAAGAGTTAGGGTTTTTGATTTTTGTTTTTTTTTTAATTTGAATTTGGGGTTTTTTTTTATTATTTTACTTTTACTTGAAAGAATACTTAATTTTACATGTAATTCTTCTTATAGTTGTGCTTTTTTATATGCATCTAACATCTTCTTAGATTAGCAAACCCTACATAAAAAAGTTAAAAATCCAAATCAAAATAAAAATACTTTTTATTTGTAATTATTAATATTTAAATTCATGTTATTTTAAAATATTATCTTCTTTTTATTGAAAACATGTGTTAATTAATGATCTTTTTACTTTTATATATATATATATATATATATATATATATATATAGTCTAGGGATTTAAAGGTTTCTCACTAGTTATTATTTGTTTAGGGCCGGCTCTCTGTCTTCTCTCAAAGACTCACCCTGCTGCTACTAATCCAACTCTCTTTCGAACCCCTAACTCTCTGTTTCTTAATGGCACCAAAACGCCCCCCTCCCGTTGAAGATCCACCCTCTTCTTCTAGCTCTAACGAAGAAGAAGAGGAAGAAATTCCCAGTTGTGAAGAGGAAGAGGTATCTGGTGATGAACAAAATCAACCCTCTCCTCATCAACCACAAACGAAAACCACTCGAACCCAAAAGTCAACCCCCAAAAATCCCGAACCCTCGACTCAACAATCTAACTCTGCGTCCAAATCAGAATCTGGGTCGGATAATGATGTGGGAGAGGACAGAATGGAAGGTGAGATGGAGAGAGATTCAAGTGTCAAAAAGGTTTCGGAGTTTTGTAACAGCGTGAGTGTCGGAAAAATCGATGATTATGTTGCGAGGAGGGGATTGGATTTTGTGCAGGGGAGGAAGAAGGCGGAGATGAAGGAGAAGTGGAAGAAGTTGCGTGTAGCTGAACTGGAGCTCTTTTTGAAGCGGAAAGAATTGATAGAAGAACAAGCTAAGTTAATGCTGTCAGCTTTTAAGTCTCGAAAGTACATGTAGGGGTCATATTCATAATTCTGTTTTTAAGGTTCAATTCTCATTCAGTAATGTTATTCTTTATTTCTCATTTAGCAGATATTTTGTCATTTATTTCTTATTTTTGTAGTTCTTTTGTGTTTGATTAGTGGATTTCTTATAATTTTTGGAATCAAATTCATAGGTGCCCTTAACAGCCTTTCTTTATGGTTCATTAAGAAATAACTGGTGTCATCACTGGTTATGGGAAATTCATCTTCACTCTCTGAAGAGTTTACCCAAATTATGAATATATATTGTATTTGCAGAAATAACTTCCATAAAAGTATGTTGTTTAAATTTATATATCAATAGTCAATATATCCTTGAAAATAAGTTGGCAGATGATGGAAACTAATGGCTTCAGGGGAATCAGTGGATAACTTTTGAGATGTCTTTTTTTGCCATATCTGCCTTATGTTGAATGATGTCCACACCACATCGGTTAATGATGCTGAGCAATATGAGTCTTACAGATGGTTTGGTGAAGGTGGCATGTTCCAGCATATGGTATTGCCAATTAGTTCATTGCGAAAGTTGTTTTGATTTTCTATAGGGAAAAATGAGAATAATGAAGGATATATTGTTTAATTGCAGTCCTCACTAAATTTTATGAATCTATGCTCACTGAGTTTTGCCACATTAATGCAGAAAAAAATACTAGAATCTGTAAGCTCAGATCTCTTACTGCAAATGAGAAACAGCGAAGGGAAAAATGAAGTTACATTTGAATTTTAGAGCTCCAAATGAGTATATATATATAGCACATGAGTGATGAGCCTTGCTGTAGAAAGAAATCATTCCCTCATAAAGGCTTTTTCTTTTATGATATTGTTAATGACATAATCAGATAATCAAAGTACTAGTAGTACTTTAAGGAAGGATATCCACTACAGGAGCAAATCAGAAAATTTCCCACTTGAGGTTTTCATCATATTTGACAACTAGAAACCTCACTTACCTGGTACAAATTACTTACCATAATAAGTGAAAAAACCAAGTAATTGACTGATAGCAAGCCTCTAAAAAGATCAAAAGATATATATAACACAAGTGCTTCAAGCTAGGAAATTCTGACCAGAAGAACGGATATTGTGTTTTCAATCAGAAATCCTTAGGAATTCATCATTCCCGTTATCATTTCTTTGTCAGAAAGAAAAAAGATTCAAAACTTGTTCTTTGAAGTCTTGTCTTGTGAGATTTTAGATTCTGACAATGAATTGTGAGGGGCTAGATGAATGGAAGTATATTTAAGGTCATCAGCAATGCCATCACAGTAGCTGCAAAAGATCACCCTGAAGAGTTCAAACTCAAAAGGGGTGAAATTGTTGAGACAGTATACTCATCCTTTCGTTCCCTGCATTGTTGTCATCACCACAATGAGCTAAGCCAGTCTGAGAAGGTAAAAACAGGAGAGGAGCTTTAAAGATGAGCCTCAAGGTGTTAAAAGTAGGCCAAATGGAAATGCAGTTGATTTGGCACATTGTAAGGAGGCTGGGTGTGAAGCAGAGGCCTTAGTTGAAATGATCGAGCGAGAAAAAGAGCTTGTACATAGAGGAATCATCAACATCCACAATGCGAGCAAGACAGAATGTCTTAAGGCATGGAAAACAAATAGAAGTAGGCAAGTACTTACAACCGTTAATACTTGGATGTTACAAGATATCCCACCGCAAACACATCTACCCCTAAATATTGGGGGAAGCCTCTTAAAGTATCTCCTTTATCAGGTAACAAGATACCAAGTTAAAATCCACACCACAAATATACTAAGAACTTAGAAAGAACAAACTTTCAAATTTCATTTCTTCCAATTAAAGCAATCACTACGCTATAAGTTAAAATTTGCTCATCTCTCTTAATGGGACAATTCAAAACTCAAATTTTTCCAATACCATACGGAGAATTCATACATAACATTGCCTACTAGTGTTTAAAGTAGTTGGTACTAGGAACAACATTATCAATTATTGATTTTAGGATGGAAGTAGAAGGGCTCAAACCGTCGCATTTTTTTTTTATTATGAATGCATTGCATGATTGTTCAAACAAAATCTATCACGTCGACCGTTGCATTTTTTTTTTTATAATATAACAGAAAAACTGCTGTCAATAAAAAAAAAAATCGTTGCATAATCTATCACATTGACCGTTGCATTAGATGATTTCAACTGCTGCATATTGTGTCACTTAACCGTTGCATTATATGATTTCAATCGCTGCATATCATTTTAGGCAAACTATTGCATTATCTAATTAAACCGCTTTATAATTTTTCATGAGCATCGTTGCATTATATGATTTCAACTGCTGTATGAAATATGACAATAACTATTGCATATGATATGCTAATCGCTGCAATAGTTTTGACCAAAACTGTTGCCTTCTTATTCGGCAAACCGCTGCATAAAATACCAAAGAAACCGTTGCAATTGAAGGATTTTATGCAACGATACATGTTCCATTGCAAGAGAATATAGAAACCGTTGAATTAACCTATTGCAGTGCTAGTCGGATGCAATAGCTGGTAAACCATTCTATAAGGAGTAATGCAACGGTTGTATGTTTATTTGCAACAGTGTTTAACCGCTACATAAGGCTTTATATGTTTTAGTGAACATTAGAGTTCTTAAGGATTGCACATACATGTATTGAAAATCACCTCATATATTTATAGAAAATATACAAGTCTTATTCTAATCCTACAAGTTTTATATTGCTGGATAAGGTCAATCTAAAGCCTATAAGATTTCTAAAATCCTTATACAATTAAGATTTTTTAAATTCATGCATGCCACAGCTTTAATAATTAAAATAGGTTATATATTATTCAAGATGATTGAATTGAATGAAAAAAAACTCTAATTGCTTAATTAATTAAGTGATATCGCATTTAAGTATTTATTTAAGCTAAAAAAATTAAATAGTTATACCTAGAAAAAACAACAACACTTGGGATACTGTAGAGATTTAAAAAATTATATATTTTGCTGCTTGGTGCTAAAGAAACTATAATTTCGTACGTGGAATGGAGTGCTTCAAAATTTGGGTCTAGCGGATGTCTTTTGGTCTGTTCAACGTGTTCCGTTCTCACTTTTTTTTCAAAAAAAAAAAACTATTGGGCTGGGCTTAAAAAAGAAAAAAAACATTTTATGCATGAACCACGTTAAATGCGCTCTAATACTAATTGCTGTGTAAGGGGGCATTAGTTTTAAGAAAATATTTTACGTGTATAAAAAAAAACATTTTATATGAAACAGATTTTATGGTAGTGGAAATAATTGAAAAATATTATTAGTTACTATTGTCTGTAAATATTTTATGAAATTTCATGATTTAAAAATATTTTTAGATAAATAAATTAAGTTTATATGTTAATTGTAAAATATATATTCTTTTCACCAATTTCCTATAAAATGCTATGCATAAAATAAACACAAAAAAATTTCAGACAGAATCCACTTTTTGCATATCTAAAACGGCTTATTGATGATGCTTACTGATGATGCTTATTCCTTCAGTGCTGATGACATTCTATTAATTGAGCCTTCTGATTCTAATAATGCTCTTCAACAACGTTAGATAGTTTGTAATGGAGAAGAAATGGCTCTTGATGATGATTATATCCATTCTGTTATTCAGGAGCTTTTATGCAAAGAAGCACCTACCCTCTTGCAACTCAGAGATGAGACTTCAAAGTGTTGACTCATTAGGTTTTGTAGAATTGGTTGATTGAAACCAGAAAAGAAAATGCATTTGTGAGAACTATATATATACATGCATTAGGGCTTAAGCAGAGTATTATGAGAGGCCAATCACCTTATTACTGATATATAAGTCAATCCAAGGATGAAAATTTAAAAATAAATAAATAAATAAATTAGTGTCCTCTAACAAGGATCAACAAAATTCTTAATTCTGTAATTGTTTACAACAATATTTCGTGACTTTATGTAATATTTTTTATTTGCTAAGTTAAGGGTCGATGCATGAATTCAAAGAACAGTGACATTCACATAAGTGGGGGCTGGCACATTGGATCATACTACAAGCAACCAGATTTTAGACTCAAGTTCAAGCTCAAATTCTATCAAAGGTTAGCTAGATTCTTTTTTAATAAACAAAAACTGAGGATGCAAAATTGTCATGCACGTAAGATAGGATTTTGAGAAGAACCTGATAATTGGGATTAGGGACGATGGTCCATTAGTGTTAGAGTTGTTAGGGATTGCACATACGTACATATATTGAAAATCACATCATTTATATATTTATAGGAGATATACATGTCTTATTTTATTCTAATCCTACAAATTTTATATTGCTGGACAAGGTCAATCTGAAACCCATAAGATTTTAGAAATCCTTATGCAATTAAGATTTTTTAAATTCATTCCTTAATAATTAAAATAAGTTATTTATTATCCAAAAGGATTTACTTGAAGGGAAATAGTTCTAATCATTTAAATAAATAATTTTGGATTCAAGTCTTTATATACATATAAAATTTTTTAGATAGCGACACTAATTATATCCTTGGAATAAAAAAAAATGAAAAAAAATAGGTTGTACATTTTGCTAGTTTATGCTAAAGAAAGTATTATTAGTAAGTGGCATGGAGTGCTTCAAAATTTGGGTTACCGGATGACTTTTGGTATGTTCATCGTGAATTCCATTTTCATCCTTTTTCTTTTTTCACCTATTGGGCTGGGCTGAAAAAAAAAAAAAACCAGAAGAAAAACCATTTATGCATGAGCCAATTCATAATAAATGGGCTCTTATACTAATTACCGTGTAAAGGGGCATTTGTTTTAAGAAAGTATTTTACATGTAAACAAATAACATTTTATATGAAACAAATTTTATGATAGTGAAAAATTGAAAAATATTGTAAGTTACTATTGTCTGTAAATATTTTTGTGAAATTTCATTATTTAAACATATTTTTAAATAAATTAATTAAGTTTATATGTTAATTGTAAAATATAATTATTTACCAATTTCCTATAAAATGTTATGTATAAAACAACCACAAGAAGATGTTTTTGCATCAAATATTTTATGCAAAACAAAGGCATACTGATAATTCTAAAATTTCAGACATAATCCACCTCTTGTATACCTGAAACAGCTTGTCGTTTTAAATTGCTCCACTACACTAAACGAAGTGTCATTTATAGTTGCCAACTAACCTCACGCTTTCTCGGTAAATAACCAAAGACCAAGATATTTCTCACCATCAAAATACTCAGGTCAAGCAGATCAACCCAAAACCCTAATTCCACCGCTTCATGATATGATGATATTCTTATTGCTTGCTTGGTGGGGTTCCCACCATTAATTTGTTGAGGTAAAATCTTTTGCTTTTTCTCTATTATATCATTACTTAATAATTTTATGCATAAATATACTCCTAATCTCCAAATAAAAAGTCCATCTTTAAACATAAAAAAAATACCAATATCGATAGGATTAGCAATTTACCAAACAATTATTTCCCACATTTTATCGTTGCATCACCAAACAACATTAAAAACTCAACTTGGGAGCCATTGAGAAGCCCAAACAAGCATTTACCATAAATATATGATTCAACTAGAGAGGCTGAAATAGTCATGGAAGAATCACCTATTGAAGTGTCTTCAATTTCAATATACCCAAGACTCAAGGTATCAATTTCAGTCTTGTGATTATAACTTGCTAAGTAGCTTATCATTGAAAATATAGACAATTTTTTCAATGGTAGCACTGAAATGTTTATAATTTATACACCATCCCATCCTTCTCTTCTTATAGACATATCTTCAAGGACAGGGAAGCTAGAAAAGAGCTTGTACATTGAGGAACCATCAACATACACAACACGAGTGAGACACAATGTCTTTAATGCATGGAAAACACATAGACAAACATCCTACTCATCCTCGAAACATCCAAATTTTTGCAAGTAAATACTCTCGAAGGAAGTTGTTCGGGGTTGAAACAACTAGTTACACATGCTAATACTTGGATGTTACATGCTATTACAGCACAAATCCACCCATAAATATTAGGGAAAGCATATTTAGTAATGCATTTAAGATAGCCACTTTGCATAATAGACCCGCCATGATAAAAGAGTACCCGACCCACATATCCATATACTATAATAACGTGTAATTAATAAGAAAATTGATCATAAAAATCCATATTTTGTGTTGAAAGTCCAATTGTATTCTCATCTTTTTTTAACTCTATAAAGGCCTTTTCGAGTTGCAAAGTTCCATTTAAACCCATCCTTCTTGAGTAGATCTATCAAAGGTTTAGCTATTCTACCATAAACCTTCACAAAACATATGTAATAACCTATAAGACCAAGAAACCTCGTTGTTGTTTTAGATTATGTAGAAGAGGCCATTACTGCACCACTTCAATTTTCTTAGGATCAATTTGGACACTTTCCGCAAACATGAAACGTCCCAAATATTCCACCTTTGGAGTGCCAAAGGTGCATTTAAAATGTCTAGCAAACATGACTTTTTATCTTAACACACTCAATGCAATTTTCAAATGTTAAACATGCTCTCTTAAAGTTTTACTAAAGAATAAAATATCATTAAAAAAAATATACTAGAATGAACTTTCAAAGAAAAGATCTAAAAACATCATTCATAGTTAAACTAAATGGCATAACCAAGTACTCATAGTAACCATTGTGTGTTCGAAAAGCTATTTTAGGAATGTCCGAAATACACATTTTGATTTGATGATAACCTACTTGTAAGTCAAGTTTAGAAAAAATAATTGATCCTTGTAATTCATCTAGAAGTTCCTCAATGATAGGAATTGAAAATTAATCCTTGATAACCATCCGATTTAGCTTCCCGTAATCCACACATATCCTCCATGAATTTTCTTTCTTTTTAACTAATACCATTGGAGAAGAAAAAAGACTCACACTAGTTTAGATAATACCATTTTCAACATTTTCTTTACTTGTCTTTCTATCTCATTTTTCTAAAAAGAATGGTACCTATGAGGTTTCAAACTTATAGGTTCATACCCCTCTTTTAATTGTATTCTATGTTCATGTGCTCTTTTAGGAGGTAACCCCTTAGGTCCCATAAAGATATCCTTAAACAATTCTAATAATGCCAACACTTTCTTAAAAACAAATTGCATTATTTCTACCCCATGGTGTTCCATTTCTAATTCCTTGAATCTACTAACTAACTTAACTCGTAACCAGTTAATATGATTTTGCCAACAAATGATTTTGTCCACTATCTCTTTTTCTTCACTTTTACTTAATTCCACACAATTTGCTTGTAACAATACATGTTTTCCATCCATTATGAATCTTATCCATATGTCTTTGAAGTTCTAGGTTATGTCCCTCGTTGCTTATAACCATACAACTCCTAGAATCGGTTTGTACATTTCCAAATGCATCGCAAACATAGTAGCTTCTAGTTTCTTTCCTTGCATTTTCGACTTGAAATCATCACACTTATATTCACATTTATTTTGCTACCTTAATGACTATATATTAGTGAAATTCTATCCAACTCACATTTATTTATTTTTACAAACCCTAAATCTATAAATTTATTAGTGCTACTCGTGTCCATTAGAATATGCATCCTCTTATCGTGCCATTCACCTACTATTTTTACTTGTTTGATAATTTTCCCCTCCCAAAGTAGCATATATTGAAACCTAACATAATTCTCTAGTTATGTTCTCTACATTTTCATACTCTTTAAAATTCTATTACTCCTCAATTGCTTCAATCATACTATCTCCAATTCTACTATCCTCCACTTCCAACATGAACATTTACCCCCCATTGCATTGATGATTAGGACTATATTTATCATCACAAAAGTAACATGAGCCTTTTAATCTTTATTCATCAAACTCATAGTTGCTAAGGAGTTTTTTGCTTCGAAACACGTAATTACCATTTTGAAATTATGCTAGTAATGGTAATATGCCTTTTTGGTTATTGCGATTAGTGTTGTTATAGTTCACTTAAGATTTTTGGTTCATTGGATTAGGTGTGTAGGTATGGTTTGAAAAAGGTTGTTGTGGTTGATTGAATAGTCGATTGTTAAAAGATGGCTTTTGGTTATATATAGGTGAGCATTTAGTATTGAACCTTTGAGGGTTAGGCTGAATGTGTGGGTTGGTCTCTTGAAGCTTAAGCCTTTGTTTCAATTTTTTACATATTAATATTTTTACAGGCGCTTGTAATTTTTGTTTCAAACCCCTCTAAAGTAACTAATGATTTAATCCTTAAGTACGTTTAATTTATTAACAATAGAGATAAATTTCCTAAGGAAAGATTAAACGTCATGAGTTTGCTTTAATCCCATCAGCTACGTCATAGGATCATTAAACATCATCACACTAAAACATATATTTATTGCATCTATATAGTCTTCCTATTTAATAGCTGAATTAATTCAATGCATCCTCACAAAGGCTCGGTGTCATTCTAAAGCCTTATCTATTAGATGGATAGCAGCTATGTTCACCTTAGCTTCTTCGGGTGTTCTATCCACCATGAAAAACCTTTCACATCTAAATATTCATCCTTTAAAGTCTTCTATAGAAAATTTGGGAAAGTCCACCCTAGATATTTGCTTGTTGTAATCGTAACCCATACTATTTCCTACACAGAGATTACTCTCTAATCCATCATTCATACTAGTAGGAGGATG